TGTGTGTGTGTGTGTGTGTGTGTGTGTGTGTGTGTGTGTGTGTTTGGTGACATTTGGGGGCAATTTTTAGACAAAAATCCTACCTTTGGGGACAACTGGTGCATTTGGGGACCCAAGATTCTTTAGTCAGTTCCAGCACCAGGTCACATGCATTTATCCATTTGGTTTAAATGCCATTGGTGGGTTGGGGGTTGGGTTTAGGACCAAGGTGTGAATTGAGTTTAGGTTAGTTTTAGGGTCAGGTAGGTACCTGTGAGGTTAGCCTTAGGGTTTGTGGTCAGGGTTAGGCTGTAGAAATGTAATGGAAGTCAATGGAATGTCCCCAGTTGGATAGCTGTGCAAACTTGTGTGTGTGTGTGTGTGTGTGTGTGTGTGTGTACGGGTTTTTCCTACAACGTGGGGACAATTTCCCCCCAAAAAAGGCAGCCTCGTGGGGACCATGATTAACCTGTGAGGTTAATTTTAGAGTATGGTCAGGTTTAGGATAAAAAGTCTAAAAAACATGAAAGGAAGTCAATACAAAGTCCTCAGTTTGATACAAATACAAGGATGTGTGTGTGTGTGTGAAAAAGGTAAAAAAACCCACTAATTAACCTTCATCTTTTCTTTCGCAGGACATGAGAAAACATGTGATGATGACTCTCCTGGACACGGAACAGTCATACGTGGAGTCGCTCCGCACTCTAATTCAGGTAACACACCTGCCCACTCTGTCGACGTTCTGACGTTTCTAGGATTGTTTGTTGACGAGCTCTAAGTTGCACCGAAGCAGAAGCTAAGAGCTGTTCTGCTGAGGCGGTGAAGAACACGTGGAGGTAACAGAAAGGTGTTATGTAATCCACTTATTGCCATTCACCCTGCTGGGCTAATCTGCTAACCCTTATCACATCTCACTGTCATCAGCAGTATCTGCCTCCTCCCAGCACACACACACACACACACACACACACACACACACACACACACAATCAGCTGTATCTGCTCTATTATTGTTAAAAGACCTTTACCCCAGATATTGGCCTTATCCCGGATTGTTTTCTGCCCAGGAGCGCCTCGTTGTGTAACCTGTCAGTGTTTGTTGTGTGTACATCCTTACATGCACACTGATTGTGCTCCTGCTTGTTTCTTTGTCTGTGTGTGTGTGTATGTGATTGTGTGTGTGTGTGTGTGTGTGTGTGTGTGTGGCCACAGTGTGAATAATCCCGGGCTGTGTTCCCATGACGACACGGGGGAAGTAAGTGTTACCACGGTGACTGCGGGGAGCGCTCACATCTTTGAAGAGGGAGGGTTTGGGTGGACGTGTGGCTCTGCAGCAGTGATGTGCAGGCCTGAAATCTGGACATTGTTTTATTTTTTCTCGATCAGACTCGGTGACAGCTTCTATGAAAAATGGATTTAATTGAAGTGATAGAATTAACTACGACTGAACCAAGTGTCTGCTCTGACATCAATTCTCTCGCTTCTGTTGGCTTTGCTAAATGTGACATAGACAGCGTTATCCACACCAACTGAGCAACGTTGCTTTTCAAAATAGAGCTTTTATGTAACTTTTTTTCTGAAGTTCAAACTAAATCAGCGAAACAAGTTTTATTCTCATTTTTCCTTTGATTCAAATGCAAAATTATTGAATTAGTCAGCAGTTGTGTCATCAGGTTTGGGGGAGGTGAGCCTTCAGGGGGCAGGGGTGTGTGTCAATTTCAGAGTCCACTGAATCTCCTAATTCCTCTCATATTTAGTGGCTCGTGGTGTTCCTCTCTCATGGATGACGTCTGAGTAAAACTTATTAAAACACTGCAACTAATACGGGAAAACTGTCCGCTCCTGGCAGGGCTGTAAAGCCTTCGTTACTAATTCTAACTACAAAATAAAAGCCAACTTTAGCCACAGTGTACATTTTTCTCTGCTGACAGTTCGAGTCGTTACAGTCAGATATGTATTAATGAGTTCCTGTAATGGTTGTGACTCAGAGTTGCATAATAAACCTGAGTTCATTTACTATCACTTAAGATGTGCAGAGAAAGAATGCGTGGATGTAAGCCTACTTTACAAATAGCAAAATAAATAAATAAATAAATAAACACCATGTATTAGCCCATCGAGCTGTTGCATCTAAAGTTAGCAAGATAAGCTTTGGAAGGATCCCAGGGTGCATCTCAGATTCTCAGGTACAATAAACATCTCGGTACACTGCCAACAACGTGATTCGTTTAAAGCTACATAAGCAGAAAAAAAACCAATATGACATGATACAATTCAGCTGCTACTGATAATGCGTCAGCCTTTAATTGCGATACGACTCACACTTTAATCGCAGTACAATTCTGGCTTCGAATGCAGTACAATTCAAGCTTTTATCGTGCTACAACTCAGCTTTAAAGTGCCTGTGACATGCCTATCCTTCAAATACAAAAAGTCAAAGAAAGCATCTTTATTTTTAAGAAAATTGGCATTACCCATTTTGTCACATAACTGGCCTATTTTTTTTTTAAATTTGGCTCAGCCAAAGTGAAACAGGAAGTGACATCAAAGGGGAACTCACAAGTAAAATAAACTTGCTGGTCTCTCCCTTTAACTCTTCTTTGTCTCTCTTTGATAGCAACTAAAATAATCTAAAGAAACATCAGATTCCTCTCTACAGTCTGTGTTGTTAGTTTTTGTAACAACGCTGTTTACATGATGACATTCCCTTTTGACATCACTTCCTGTTTCTTCACATGCAAATATCTCAGCAACCGTTCATCTCAGCGATGTGAAATCTCTTTTGCATTATGTTATCAATGTTATCTTTCCAAAAAAAATGCATTCATGTTTATTACAAAAAATTGATGTCACAGGCACTTTAATTGTGAAATGACTTGTCCCTTAATTGTGCTACGACTCAGCCCTTAATCGTGGTGCGACTCAGGCTTTCATTGTGATACTGTTCTGGCTTTAATCGCAAACCAATTCTGGCTCTAATCTTAATACAGATCTGGGTTCAATTGCAAAGTTACTCAGATTTTAATTGCAATACGACTCGGGCTTTAATCGCAATATATTTCTGGTTTTAATTTTGATACGRCTCAGGCTATAATTGCAATGACTTGGGCTTTCATTGCCATACGATTTTGGCTATAATCGCAATCTGACTCAGGCTTTAATCGCGATACTGTTCTGGCTTTAATCTCTATACAATTCTGACATTTATCGCGATACCACTGGAGCTTTTGTTGTGATACAACTCGGGCTTTAATTGTGACCCAACTCAGCCTTTAATTGCATTAGACCAGTTGCCATAGAATTCGGGCTTTAATCACAATACTTTCTGACTTTATTCCCTATACATTTCATCTCAATGCAACTCAAGCTTTCACCGTGGTACAACTCAAGCCTTAGTCACTATAGAAATCTGGCTTTATTTGCGATGCAATTCTGACTTTCATCTCAATACGACTTGACCTTTAATTGCGATATCACTCAGACTTTTATCGCAATGCAATTCTGACTTCATTCGCAATACGACTTTTTAATCACGTTACAAAAGCAGGTATCCCACATGGGGTTTTGTCAAGTCAGGTGTTCCATTACCTGTGTGTGTGTGTGTGTGTGTGTGTGTGTGTGTGTGTGTGTGTGTGTGTGTGTGTGTGTGTGTGTGTGTGTGTGTGTGCATATTTACACTCACCCGTTTCTAATACATACAGTTTTTTTAATTTAAGTTCTGAACATCTGTAAGTTTAGGGTCTTTTTATCCCCCTCTGGTATTCTTTCAGCAGAGCTCACCATCACTCAGAAAAACAGCTAAAAATAAAAAGTTCATGGATGACTGTACATGCCACAGACCTGACAAGCTATGTGCTTCGTGTCAGCAGTGATGTTGAAACTGACAAAAACCAGAAACATGCATTTTTTTTTGTTCGAACACAAAGACAGTAGGTTAAGATGTTTTATTAAATTTACAAACTTTAATTTTCACAAAACACACCACCTCTTACCTCTGCTCTCTTTATCAAGATTTAGCAATCCACTTGGAATATAAATTCAGGTGCAATTTATACTGAATATATGGAGTCTTCTGTGGCTGAAAGGGCTTTAAACCTCTGAACAGTTACTCTCTGCAGTCATCTTTAAACCAAACATTTTCTGATTTATGAGCCTTCAGCTTCATGTCATGACCCTCATTAGCACATGGACCTTTTTCTTCAGCAGCTACAAAACCGCCTGTCGTCACATAAACAAAACTTTTTAATCCCTTGAAACCATCATTGACTAAAAGGTGGTTTTGTCCCTTCAGGGATACATGCGTCCTCTGAAACAGCCGGACGGTGGATCCATCGTAGACCCTCTGCTTGTGGATGAGATGTTTTACCAGATCCCAGAGATCCTGGATCACCATGAGCAGTTCCTGGAGCAGGTCGCTGGCTGCCTTGGTCAGTGGCACGACAGGCAGACTATTGGACACATCCTCATCCAATCAGTAAGTAGGAATAAACAAAACAAAACTGATTTTAGGGCCAATTGCATCATAAAGTAGGGTTGTCATATCTTTAATTCAACCTTGGTGTTAATGTGGAAATTATTTGACACTTGATACCAATTTCTATGCAACCAACAGAAAATTACAAATTATAAAAACATTTTTAGCACCACTAGAAAATATTATTGTTTATCTTGATCCATTTTTGGTAATTAGACAATACTATTGACCAGAAATATTTTTAAATTACCAAACTTTGTTTTATTTAAAAGGAAAAAAAAACAACTTTTTTTTCTTTATTTAAAAATAAGGTCTTGGGTTTCTTTTTACATAAAGAACAAAGACAGTTTTGTGTGTCTTTTACTTTAAATTAAAAACAACAGCTAGCTCCTGCTACTATTATTACTTACTAAAAACAACACAGAATTTCATTGGCTTAACCTTTTAATGTGAAATCATTTGACTATTGAAATGTTTGTAAAATAGCTTTTGATTGAACTGCTTTGAAATATTAAGATTTGAGTTGCTATAAGACAAGCATCCAATTTAGTGTTTGTTTTTCTGGCGTTAACTTCAGTTTATTTATATAAGAGGTTCTGCTGATCCTAAATAGCTAAATCAATTTTAAAAATTCAGGCAAAAGATTAAACTCAAAAAGATAAAACTTTCTGGCCAAGGGGGGTCAGTGGGGAGGCCACCAAATATTTTCATGGGGCTTTTGCCCTCCAAGACCCCCACCTTTGTGTCACCCCTGCTCATAAAACAACCAACAGATAAGCCACATTTTTAGAACCACTGATAATTTAAGTAAAAAGCACGAATGTGTTTAAGCCACTGTGTTTCATTTAAAACAGTTAAAATTCTTCTTCTTCCTCTGTACAACGGTGMCTGTACCGTCCTCCTCTGTTCATCTGGGTTATTTTAAACTGAATCAGACTGAAGTGCAGCTTGATTTTGGTTCAGAACCACAGTATCCACACACACATAACAAGGTTTAATTTACTGTGGAGAAGAGGCTGTATTTAAAGCCTAACTGACCACAGTTAGTAACACATATTAACATTTTGTTTTCCCAGTGACCACTTGGTGCCTTTCTTTTAAAGTTTCCCATGACCCCAGAGTGGCTTTCAACCTTAAACAAACATTGCTCCAAGGACTCGGTGCGAGTCTAAAGGTCAGGTCGAGTGGTTGAGAAAGACAGAAAAGGAAAAACAGATTTTCTCCATCACCGAATGAACCCACGTTTATTACAGGAAGAACAGACTTGAACTTCCTCCGCAGTTCTTGCTGCAGCACTGCACTGCAGTGACACTTTTCTACTTTATTCTCCTTTGCCTCTCTGCATCTAATAAAACTGTCATATTCGGTATTTTTGATAAATGTAGTTAGAAGTGGAAGAAATCCATGTCATTTATCTGTGGTGTCTGTTGGATGTTTCATACAAAAGTAAGGAGTGAGACAAAGACAGGGGGAGGATATGTGAGCATAGTGAGGCCATTGCATTACCTCTCTGCTCTGTGTCTGAGTCACCCTCCCCCCGACTCTTTCAACAGCAGCAGCTGCAGGCTGCTGCAAGCCTCGTTGGCGCAGTAGGCAGCGCGTCAGTCTCATAATCTGAAGGTCGTGAGTTCGAGCCTCACACGGGGCAGAGTTTTTGTTTAGGTTTCATATGTTCGAATGAGCTGTTTGATTTTCGCATGGATCTTCTCTGTGCTGCTGTGTGTAGCAGATCTAACACACACAGAGAGAGACACACACACACATGCTGTAAATGGGGCTCTCTGTTTCAGAAGTTTTCAAGATATTTGATTTACTTATATGGCAAATTTATCTGTAAAACATCTTGACTTGATCAGAAAAAAAGCATCAGAGATTTATTTGTTTTCTGGAAACTTAGTCGCTAAAATGGAAACAAACACCACAGAGGCTAAGATAAATATATTAGATGCTACAATGTGATGAAGATCAGCTAAAAGCAGCAGAACAGTAGCCGAAGCACAATAAAGCATATCAGTAGCTTAAAAAAGCAGTAGTAGCTAAAATTACATAACAAATGCTGAAAAAAAATTGTAAGAATTAAAGCTGCAAGCAGCGTTGGGCAGCCCTCGCAGCTTGAGCGCCGCTTCGGCGACTACAGGAGAACTGGCTTTACCCCAATTTTCCATTTCCAGAAAGCCCAATTTTCCAAAATATTAAACTACGCATGGTTGATTTTGCCACGCTGCCTCAACCAAACCTTCCGGCAAAATAACAGAAAACAAAAACCATGTGAAACGGGCGTAAGAGGGCTGAAAACCACCTAAAACCACTCAAAATCACCAAAAACCACGTGAAATGGGCCTAAGAGGGCTGAAAACCACTCAAAACCACTGAAAACCATGTGAAACGGGCCTAAGAGGGCTGAAAACCACTCAAAACCACTGAAAACCATGTGAAACGGGCCTAAGAGGGCTGAAAACCACTCAAAACCACTGAAAACCACAAGAAACCATGTGAAGCGGGCCTATTAGGGCTGAAAACCACTGAAAACCACCATAAACCACGTGCAACCGGCCTAGTAGGAGGTGAAAATCACCTAAAACCATTCAAAACCTCTCAAAACCACCAGAAGCCATGTGAAACGAGCCTAGGTGGGTTGAAAACCACCTAAAACCATTCAAAACCTCTCAAAACCACCAGAAACCATGTGAAACAGGTCTATTAGGGCTGAAAACTACCTAAAACCACTCAAAACCATAAGAAACGGGCCTAGGAGGGCTGAAAATCACGTAAAACCACTCAAAACCATCACAAACCATGTTAAGCATGCATAAGAGGGCTGAAAACCACTGAAAAGTACCAAAAACCCTGTTAAAGGGGCCTAGGAGGGCTGTAAACCAGACACAGGTAGAAATATGTAGATGTCACAGTGTAAAAGATAAACATACAGCAGGTAAATAAGACACTTCCTGTTTTGAGGGGGGGGGGGGGCTAAGGTGATGTCACCAAATGAGCATGTGGGTGGGATGAGTGCCAGTCTGGTATGACACACAGAAATGATCATGCAGCTGTGACCTTGTTTGTGGAAGTTCTTGAACCTTGATATTTCATGGCGAATGATCACTTTCTGTGGCTTGGCCATGCCCACATGTTTTGATGCAGCAAAAATCTTTTATCGTTTGATCTCCAATGCCTTAAGACTGTGCTGAGTGAATTTGAAGTCTAACTTGAAAGCTGTAGGAGGAGTTTGTTCAAATACCTGTACAGGAAACGAGACAAAATAGCAGCTTGGATCCAAGATGGCCAACTTCCTGTGGCATTTGGACCATGGCTCCAAGAGACTTTTTTTGTAGGTCCTGGTACATTACACAAGTGTGCTGAATTTGATAACTGTAAATGAAAACATGGCTTGGGGCTGATTTTTTGAATTATTGTAGGAGGAGCTATGGAGTAATTAGGCCACGCCCACCAAATGTTACACTGCATTCCTGTTTGGGACCGGATAAGGATCGATCACGGGTGATTTGGTACAGATCAGTTGAAATATGTGGATTTTAGAGCCAAACGTAATTCAACGGTGTGACGCCTGATTTCGCCATGCCGCCACGACCACGCCTTCCAGCCAAAAGTCTTGATGTTTGAAACCAAGTCAGACCAACTTATCTGTATTATGACACAAATTGAAGGTGATTGGGTCAAATGTGTGAGAGATGGATCTTTCCAAGCAACAAAAGGTCACTTCATGTCCTCGGGGCGGATGGATGACTCACAGTGAGTTTGATGGAATTCGGTCTATCCATGCAGAAGTTATAGCGTTTCAAAATTCTTGGCGAGGTCAACTTCGAGGTCTGGCCACGCCACCTTAACATGCTCAAAAACTCACGGTTTTGATAACTTTTAATCCCCCATGTCTTAACAGTAAACTGACCACGTTTGAAGCCGATAGGTCAAACTCCCTAGGAGGAGTTCGCAAAAGTTCGACGTGAGCGAAAGTGAAACTGAGCAAAAAATTGACCTTTGAACCAAAATGGCCAACTTCCTGTATATTTTAGGGAATACCTCCAAGAGACTTTTTAAAATATTTTGGGGAGTTCTACCTATGTGCCGCTCTGTAGGACTTACCAGTTCCTCTATCTGACTTTAGGTGGCACTGTCCAGTCATTTGGCCACACCCATTAAAAATTCCAATGGAATGTTATTTTTGTCGGGGGACAATTTTGTGTGAAGTTTGGTGAGTTTTTGAGTATGTTAAGGCCTCCAAATAAACATGTTTCGACGCGAAGAGAATAATAATAAGAAACGAAGGGTTTCAATAGGCTTTCGCAGCGCTCTCGCTGCTCAGGCCTAATAAATAAAAGTGAGCAGGGTTAGCAGGCTAAGGTTAAAATTAGCTTAAGACTTGTCAAAAATTAGTAAGTAGCTAATGTTAGGGGGAAAAAAAAGCTAAATATAGCATTGTAACTGAAAGTGAAAAGAAACTGAAAYAGTACCAAAATGCTAAAGTTGCTAAATATTTGATAAAATTGCAAAATGGTTGCTTAAAGTAGCAGGCCTGTAACAAAAGTTTGGAGAATGATAGCAATACCTACAACCTAAAAGTAGCTAAAAGCTTCAGAGCAGTAGTTAAGATGTATAAGTAGGAAAATGTTAGCTGAAAGTATTGTAACAGTACCTGAAAGCTAAAAGATGCTACATGGCAGCTAAAAGTAGCAGGAATATACCCCCCACCCCACCCCGCAATCCATCCAAAATAAAACATATGAGTATTATAAAACCATAGTGTTAATGCTGACTCAGCATCCACACAGTAACAAATGTAGTTTTATCTTTGAAGAAAAAAAAGTCATATGGCAGGAAGGCATTAATAAGCCTGCCACACAAGGACCCTCAGAGTATTTTTCTTGACCTTCTTAAGGAGTGCAAACATCAGTGGATTAAGAAGTTAAACACAAAGCTTTGAGTTTTCTCCTCACGCTGGGGCTGATCTCTGGCAGCCACACTTTAATCTGGCTTTTTAACGTTTCCAGGAGCGGACACGCTCTGAATTACAGCCGAGGAAAGATCAGAGAGGAACTAAATGTTTCATTGTAGGTCTTCTCCACATGGTTTGTTCTGTTTGTCCTGAAAGTCTGAGGACGAAGAACAAATGGAGGAAAAGGGCCGAAGGACAGGGATGATAAAATTGCTGCTCTCTGTACTTCATTGTCAAATTTTAAAGAATAAATCACACAAACTAGGAAACCACAGCCAAAATAATTAGTTGTAATTCATTCTGTTCATCCTAGAACCTTTTTTTTTTGTTGTTGTTGTTGGTTAAATCCAGCACTTGTCTTTTCATCTCAAAACTAAAAGGAATTTGATCAGAAAAAAGAAAATCTCTCAAAMGCGAACCAGTCCAATATAATAAACCAGTTCTTGTCAAATCCAGTTGTCCAGAAGCTCAGATTATAATGCATGGCCTCTCCCCTCCCCCAGTTCTCCAAAGAGACTCTTGCCAACATGTACTCAGCGTACATCGACAACTTCCTCAACGCCAAAGACGCCGTGAGGATCGCCAAAGAGGCCAAGCCGGCTTTCCACAAGTTTCTGGAGGTGAGTGTTGCACGGAGGTACAGGTGAATGTTTTGGGTCTGAACAGGTGTCGTCACGTGTCTGTCACAGGAGGGGGTTAGTTACACTTTAATGAACTAAACCACAAATGCTGACTCAGCTTTCTCACTATTCAATTTCTGTTGTAGCTTCTCCAGCCCGAATGAGAATAATGTGTAACCTATGTTTTTTTTTTTTTTGTTGTTGTTGTTGTTGTTTTTATACTTTTAACTTTAGTTCTTGATAGAGATTTTGAAAGAAATCTTATCAAAAACATAGTTCCTTCGGGAACATGTTTCAGCTGAATGGCTACATTTTTTTTCTTCTTAAGCTACTTTTAGGTTTTAACTATTGTTCTGCTACTTTTGCCCATTCTTACTTTTTAGCTACATTTCTGCTTATTTGAGATCTTAGCCCTTATTTTATTTTTWTTTATCTTTTAGCTACCATTTAGCTTATTTTAGCTTTAATTTACCACTTTCCTACTTTAAACATATCACTACCCTTCAGACTTTTTTTATTCTTAGCTATCGTTTGTCAGCTTTTAGCTACTGTTTTGCTACTTTTAGCTTTTAGGTACATTTGTGCTCATTTTAGCTTTTATAAGCTACAGACAACCTTAAAGGTTGCTCAAATTTACGAAACTCAAGCTGTTTTCCAAAGCCAGCACAGCGTTATTTTCTGTCATGTATGACTAAATATGGATTTTTTTTTTAAAAAAAAGTGTATTTTTAAACCTTTTCATGCGTCTGTGAAATCCTTTTATAACCATCTCCTCAGAAGCAACGTGCTGGTCGAGCCACAGTGTCCTGTGTCCTCACGTCCCTGTCTCAGTTCAGCACCTCTCTGAGCTTCACACTGCTCGCTGGTTTTCAGGGCGAAACGGCAGCACCACCTGTTGGTGGAGTTCAAGCGCATTCAAACATATCTCCGTTCATTTCACAAGCGGCGAGATAAAGTTCAGGGTGGTAGTAGCGGAGCGTCAACACGTCCTCGGATTTAATTCTCCATATTTTTCCTTCTCCAACAGCAAAACATGCGCGAGAACAAAGAGAAACAGGCTCTGGGCGATCTGATGATCAAACCGGTGCAGAGGATTCCTCGATACGAGCTGCTGGTTAAGGTGACGCTCTGTTCTGTTTTTAGTTTGTTTCCTGATCTGATAGAACTGATGGAACTGGACTGACGTATTGAAATGCTTCAGGACTTGTTGAAGCACACCTCAGAGGATCACCCGGACCACTCGTTGCTGCTGGACGCCCAGAGGGACATCAAGCGCTTGGCCGAGAAGATCAACAAGGGCCGTCGCTCCGCCGAGGAAGCAGAGCGGGAGGCCAGGGTTATCCAGGAGATCGAGGCGCACATAGAGGGGGTTGAACATGTCAGTTGTGCTGATAAACAACTTCTTATTCTTCATGTACTCTGTTTACTTGACCAGGACTATATTAAAATTAACTGCTGATCTTTTGTGTTTGTGTTAGATTCTGAATCCACAGAGGAAGTTCTTGAGACAGGAAATAGTCATGGAGGCGGTAAGTTGTGCCATAAATAATAATAATAAAGATTTTACACAAACCACCTGCTGCTTGAACAAAGCAATTGAATTTAGCAGATATCTACTGACTCTTTTAAGAAACACCTTAAGACATTTTTATTCAGACAGGCTTTTAGTGCTTTTATTTTATTTTTTTCCCAACAACTTTTATTATCTTCTGCAAAGGAAATTAACATGTAAAAATAGATAAAGACAAAAATAAGCTTCATAATAGTCCAGATCTGCTGTAAGAAACAATTGACAAACAAACAAAATGAAGGAAAAACAAAAAAACAAATGGAAAAAGAAGAAAAAAATATATATATACATACACATACATACTGTATACATGCATACATGCATATAAATATATACACACATATACATACATACACACATACACATATGTATAATAATCATAAAGGAATGAAATATTGATTAAAAAAAGGTCACATACACAGATTTCCAGGCTGCCTGTCAGTATTTTGAATTTAAACTGAAAGAAGTATCAATCAGGAACATTGGGAAGAACCATTTTCCCCACATGTTCATAAAAACCTTCCCACAATGTGCTCATCTTACTCTCTTTACCCATTAGAGTTAAGTGCTTTTTACTGTGTTTTATTTGTTGTTTTTTATATTTGTGATCTGTTTTATTGTTTTTTTAGTTATTTTGCTCTCTGTTAAGCACTTTGTGGTGTTTGTGTCTGTGAAAGGTGCTATAGAAATAAAGCTTACTTACGTACTT